CTACACACCTAAGATTCAAACCTACGACTATAACCATACGTTAGATGTCCACGTACTCACCTCGAATTCGACGATTAAGGATTACCGAGATAGTGTTAGCGGCGTAGAACCGGACGACGAACTCTTCTTCCTTCTTCATCCTTTTTCTTCATCCCCTGCGCCGCTGCTGTTTTTCGACAGAGAGAGAGAAACGAAAGAGACAGGGAGGGAGTTACGTAAGTATTATGGGAGGCGTGTAGGGATTTTAGGTGTATAGGGTGTTATTTATACTTTTGGAGTTTTGGATCCGTATTAACTTAACATACCTGGTCCAAACGCACTTTCTGGGTCCACGGGCCCCAAATCCAAATCCGAATGCACTGTTAGATTTGTTACGTCGAACCCTACACAATAGTATAAGCCTTATTGTTAAACAAAGAATATTTATAATTTCCACCGAATCCATCTCAGTAATTAATTAACTATTTTTAATTAATTAATTCTGATAGGCTGGGTTTCGGGGCGTTACAGTTACAACTACTATTTTTTAAGGAGCATAAAAATTTATTTGCATGGGATATATACAACAATACAGTATTTTCAAAAAAAATAAATCACATATTTTTCATATGTAAATTTATCAAAATTCTACATAGATATGAAGTGGGGGATCAGAGGCAAGGTCATCCTGTAACGTCCCAAAACATACCCTAGAATTAATAATGAATAATTATTCAATTAAATAAATTTGTTTTGATTAAAAATAAATTATTGATGTGCTTTGGGCCGATATGAAATGTGTTTTGACATCCAATATCACAAATCTGGTTGAGCCTCATTTAGATAAATCCAATATGTTGACTATTTGTGTGGTCTTGATTAAGAACCAAGGTGGCAGAGTATAGACCCAAGTAAAGAATAAATAAAGAAATTATTTATAATATGAACTTTGAAATGATTTATCAAAATAAATCATGAGAATAAGTAATGTGAGAACCTTTTATGATAAAGGTCAAATAAATCAATTTTGACTTTGTCAAAGTCAAACACCCAAAAATATGATGTCGGAAAAAGTATTACAAATAATTATGAAAATTATATCGTTGGATATAGTTTAACTGTATGATCGCAACGGTGCAAATGGATTTCAATTCGGAGAAAGTTAGACCAGAAAGTGTACTCCGACTAGGACAAAAATTAGTCCCAATCAGGAAACTGTACAGACGGCGCCTCCCAGCGCACAAGCCCGATCGCAGAATCGTCGAAGGAGTCACCATACCTGTCTTCTTCTTCTTCCTTCTCATTATATAAGGGAACCCAACCTTCTCATTTCTTCACCATTTTCCTTTAAATAAACTCTGAGAGAAAGTTGTGAGTGTGGAGAACGAGGTTGTGCTGTCAATTTGGTGTGAAGTCGCTGGAGCTAGTCACAAACCTCACTGGAAGTTTCGTCGGAAAATTTCCAAAACCTCCATTTAGCTTCGAGGTAAGCCCGTAGATATATCTAATGACTAGAATGTTCATGTAGGTCGTTTCTACGTTCATAAATGGTCATTTGGTAGAGTTTTGTATTTGACATGCTTGAAGAACTAAGAATCGCAAACCATGATTTTTATGTTAAAACTATGAATTAATGATGCCAAAATGATCTATGAACCTCGGAGAACACTTTTGTATACTTTAATTGAAGTTTGGGAACTTAAAATGACATTTCCGTAAGTTGACTCGAGGTAGAAGACGATGCATAATCGATCATTAACTTGGAAATCGATTATTCATCGTTTTGTAGATTTTTGGAACACAACAGAGCAACAGTCGATTGTCAGAATGTGACAATCGAGTGTGAGTCTTCTCTGAAGTTGAATAATCGACTATCAGAATGTGATAATCAATTATCAACCCATTCTGAACATCAGATAGTCGATTATCAGAAGTGATAATCGATTATCTCCCTACATTATTGAAGAAAATGAAGCCATCAGCTAATAATTGAATTTCCTATCATATATTATTCAATTATTGTTTAGAAAACATGATTTTTGAACTATGGAATCTTATTTTTTATATCAATAAATTATGATTACTGTAAAGATGATTTGTTGGAATATAAATGAAGTTTTGACAACTAAAAAGATCTTATTTGATGCATGACGGTAAGCTAGAGTGTTAACACTCAACGCTAGGCCGCTAATTGTTATTGGATATTATGATGATTGATTGATTATTGATTCTAATGAATATTATGGATTAATGGTGGTGATTATTCTGAATGAAATGACAATTATGAAATATTGAACTAAGATTCAAAATAAATGGATTGATGAAAAATGTATTGTATTGTTAAGGCTATCTAGAAGACCTCTAAGATAGACCTCAAATTAGATTGGGCCTTGTGGGTATAAATATGTATATTCGGTGGCCTTGGGTAAAAACATACGTATGGGATCCATAAACCAAACTAGAGGCACTCGTTTGGGGATACCACCCAACCCGACAGTTAGTATTCTACTGTTCAGTTTTTCTGGATTTGTATCTTAAACGAAGGTTAGTTTAAGAGTTGGTAAATCAATCGGAATATATGTACCTTAAACTAATGACCTAGCTTAAGAGTTGGGTAGAAGTACCTTGAACTAGAATTAGTTTAAAAGTTGGTAAACATAAAAAAGATTGACCTTAGACTAAGCATAGCTTAAGGATATTGTTGAATATTGAATATTGAATATGGATGTTGAATGTTGCGATATTGAAATAAAAATATTGAGAATATCATAAATGAATCATATATTGTGTGCATGATATCAAATGGTTGTTTGTGAATTAAGATTCAATTTATGTGGATGTTCGATGCTTTAGAGATGCTTACTCAGCTTCACCGCTGAGCGTGTAGTGTGTTTTATTTGCTACACGTAGGTAGACATAATGAGTGATTGACATGTTCCTTGCAGCGGAAGGGGCGAGACTGTCGTGGTGGAATTTGTGATTTTAAATGAATAATTGTGTTGTTATTTAACGTGGTTTAAATTTGCTTCCGCACTATTATTAAGCACTTCGTATTTTACTGCAGTTATGTATTGAATAATATTTATGATTAATAAAGGTGTTGAAATGTTTTAAATTTTTACAATTTCCAAATTAATACGTTAGTCCGAAAGGGGCTGCAGACCTGGACGGATTAGGGTGTTACACATCCTCATTCGAAATTTACCAGCATGAAGATGAGTGGCTAATAGAAGGACACAAAACATTGGGGTGCCCCTAAATTCACAATTGGGATAAAATTCTAATTATTATCACGGAGACCTAAGTTAGAAAAAGGTTAATCTAAAAGGTTCATTTTGAAAATTTACTCTACATTTAAATGTTGAAAATACCAAAATTTCCTCCACCGAATATCCACATTTTATATAGAGGACACTGAGTGAATAAATCTCAACTATAAAGTGATATATAGATAATTAATGCTTAATAACACTGATTTAGGAAAATACCTTATTCGAAAAGACTATTTGAGATTACTCAAGGAAATTTATATTTTATAATTAGGTGGATTAAAGACTTAAGACTATATTTTCTAAGAGGATTATACGTGTCATAATTATGTACGTTACTTTTAGAAAAATGGATAATAGGTATACTATGAGATTGACTCAACACATATCTTACCTAGATTTTTTGTTTATGGTAAGATGACTAATTGTGATATGAAATAAAAGTAATTCCATACAATTTGACTATTTTTAAAATATTGAATATTTAAAATAAAGAAATTTGAAAAAAGATTTAGTAAGACTTTTATACTTTATCTTGATAACTTGATTTAATATTTTAATCAAAATAACTTTATATTGTAACTTACGATTTACTCAATACATACTTATATTGTGTTACAATTCAAAATGTTTATATATAAGATTAAGAAATTTTGAATGAGAGAGGATTTACTTCCTACGTTTTCATTTACGCAATTGTATATAGAAAATTTATAGGATGATATTCTATAAAACGACACAGATTTATGCAAAGAAGATTGTGATAAAGAAGATCAATGTATGGAAGGGAGCGTGAGAAGATTTGTAACAATGAAGATATAGGAAAATCAAAAAGTAAAACAAACTATACTGAAAATCTAAGGTGCAATAGCTAATAAGTTCAAAACTAAGTTACATGTTACAACCACATCAAAGAAAGTACAATTTCCAATTTGTAACTATTTTTATTTTGATAGAATATTTTATATCTTGACCAGAATACTATCCCAACAAAATCATTGGAGCACTAACATTTAATATTTTTAAAAATCAATATGGGGGAGAAGAATAATTGAATCTTAATATTTTAAAATTAAAATTTTAATCATAGAGATTAAGGATTGCTAATTTAAGTTTTTTTTAAAATGCAGGAAAGAATAATATTTATTTTATAATCATTGCGGATTGGGGGAGGTAGTTGGTATTAATATATTTTTGAATTTATACAGGGAGGAAAATTATAGATTTATAGAAATACATCAAATCTAGATCATTTATATTTGACATTTAAATAATATGCCCCATAAAAATCAATTAATTTTAAAAATCCACGTTGTAGAATCGAAAAAAAATTCGTGTAAACCCTCACACGGATAAAAAATACTTGTATTCTTATGGGAGAAAGACCAAAGTAGGACTAAAACATTGAAAACATACCAAAATAGGACTTTCATGTTTTTAATCCCGAAATAGGACTTACATTACCAAACATGGTCATATACATTACCAAAAAAGTATAGTAATCTGCACATGTACACTGCCACATTACCACAATGCAAAGTCACATTACCACAGTGCAAAGTCCTATTACGGGAAAAAAAATATGAAAGTCTTATTTTGGTATTTTTCTCTATGTTTTAATCCTATTTAGGATGATTTCTATATTATTATATATTTTTAATAGGATTATAATTAAATTTTTTTTCCAACACCAAATGTATTAAAAAGCCCGTAAACATATTGCAGCCTATTGCCATTTTTAGGACGTCCGACAGGAGGTCCTTGTGTTAAAAGCGTCGCGCCATTAGCTTAGCCCCAAATTCGCACTTCCTATTTCCGCAACGACAAAGAGCTCGGGAACTCCAAATTTGCGCAGTTATCTATGGGCGAAGTCATGGAGGCGCCTGTCGAAGGCCTAGATCGCCGTCGTGAACGTAGTCCAGCCAAGTCTGCCGACGAGGACGAGCCTTCTCCACCACCACCACCTCCTCCTCCTCACCCACGACGAGGCCGTGACCGGGACTCCCGGGAACGGAGGGATGAAAGGGACTTGGATAGGCGAGGTGGCCGTGGTAGCAAGGACTTTGATCGTAACCAGTCCCCGTCGCCTCCCCCGCTTCGGGAGCGTGACCACAAGCGGAGCCGCCCCAGCTCCAGCCCTCCTCCGCCTCCCTACCGCAATCGTCGAGGTGGTCACTCTCCTCCCTCAAGACGCTCATCGCCTCATTATTCCCACAAGCGATCCCGGAGGGATGAGTATGATGGCCGACGTGGAAGCCCTAGAGGAGGATATGGACCTGGTGAACGGAGGTCAGTACTGTTCTAGGGTTTTGTATTTGGTTCCAACTACCAATACGAGCTACAAATACTGGGAGATGTTGAAGTATAAAGAAGAACTAATAAGTGAACTCTAGAGAGATATTAGGTGGAAACAAAATATGCCAATTGATCTGAATCTCTGCTCACATTGCTGCCAGTGACGCTGTGAGAATTGATTGGATTAAGGTTTGATATCCATATGTATTTTAAGAGTCTAGCAACACATTCTTCATGGCCAATCCATGAAAAAAATGGATGAAGAAGCAGGGCTTGCATGACCTATTTCAGTGGAATCTAAACCACATTGTATTACTTTATGTTTATTTTCAAAAATTGGCAAACAAACTTATCACATAAAAAAGCTGGATGGATGGGTTCCCCCCTTACACGGATAACTAATAATGATGTCATTATTACAGTTGATTTCCCTTATGATAACAAAAATAAACGCTACAATTCTTCGCATCACTTGCTTTTCTGTATCAAAATGCATTGTTAGGAAAGTCTATTTGCTTTTTGCTTGTGTTTCCTGCTCTGCTCACCGCCAGGCGCCAGATGCTTGCAAGTTGCAATATTGCCTTCCTACATACATGTAAGTATATAACATGCTGGTTTTCAGGTTTAGTGGTGGGCTTGACAATCCATCTGGCCACGAGCGTGAAAAGGGGGGAAGGCATAGATATCCAGATGAGAGGCCTCATGCTCGATATGGTGGGCGTTCTTCTGGTGGGTTCCTAGGTTTTGTTAAGTATATTGTTGCACTTCATAGTGTATGTCATGCACCCATATTCTATTTAAAATTTCTTAAAATGATGTTAAATATGGAGTACATACAAATGGGAAATTTTTACAGAAACCCTCAATTACTATTTTGAGAATGAATTTTTATGGTTCTGGTATGCTGTTCTTTTTTTAATACTTAGATGTCAGAAGTGTTCATGTGAATATTCTTTACTATCTTTTATATTCGATGTCAGAAGTGTTCATGTGAATATTCTTTACTATCTTTTATATTCTCAATGCTATAAGTGTAATGTTTTTCCCTTCTATATATATAAGTATAGCTTTCACTTTAGTATTTTCTCTTTAAAAAGTTATTATAGGGATAAGAAATCATGAAGGTACTGCATTTAAATGAAGATTGTATCATAATCTTACTTCTGAGTTTAGTTTGATTTGATCCTTGTGTTTTTTGTTCTAGACTGGGATTCTAGTCGGAGTGGATATGGAGATGCTGTTGTATCACGAGGTTCTCAAAGGTATCAGTTTTTGAATGTTTAATGTGCAAGATCGATGAACCTTTGTGCATCATTGTTCTTAGTGTTCTTTTATAATTTCACATATTTACTTAGCATATTGTCCCATATGAAGGCATGTTTTTTGTGAACTCTGTATCCTTGATCACAGTGTATTTCAAGGAAAGCTTCTTCATTGATTTACTGGTTTCTTTTTCTAAAGATTTATGTAACTTCTTTTATCAGCCAGAGCGCCACCACTCCCAACTAGTTGCAGTTGAGGCGGTGGTACAAAATTCCTTTTGATTGCTGTTATGAATTACTATTATTTGTTACTCTTGGGATCACAAACACATCCATTTCTGCCACTTGTATTATTTTTCATAAAAACGGGTGGCATACTTATTTAATTTACACGATGTCAAGAACAACAAAGCCACTATAATCCCTAGTCCGTTGGGTCAAGATGCATTTACTTTCTAAAAAAGAAGCAAAGGAAATTCTAATGTGTCATTTTGATGTAGTCCATTATTTAGTTCAAGATAAACCATCCTTAAAAGTGACTCTTTTAGCTCCATTGGCAATGGGCTTTGAAATTTACGCTATGTAGTTATGAGTTTTTTTACCTTATGATTGCAAAATGCTGTCTGTTCTATTTATTGAAACATACTTTGAATGTTTTTTCTCTTACATAAAATTTTCAACCTGATGTATCCCTTGCAGAGAAGGATTGAAATCATATAAACAGTTCATTCAGGAACTTGAAGATGATATCTTGCCAGCTGAAGCTGAGCGCAGGTTAGAACGAGAATGTTTTGTCTTTGTAGGTTCTCTGGTTGATTCAATGTCTTACAAATAAAATAGATAATTATTCAGATGGAAATTCACTTAATGCCATTCACATGTTCTGTTTTTAATGCAGGTATCGAGAATACAAGTCTGGATATATTGAAGCGCAAAAAAGAGCCTATTTTGATGAACATAAAGATGAAGAATGGTATTTTGAAACTCAATGTCCTCTTTTACTTCCTCTGTAGGTTATTGCTGATTTTCATGATGATTTGCCTGTAACAGGTTAAAAGACAAGTACCACCCTACAAATTTAGTTACTGCTATAGAAAGGTGTGTTCTGTTTGTCTATGATGGAAATTCGATAGGACATGAATATTGGATGTTTGTGGCTTCTTTTATTGGCATCTTTAAGATTCTTATTTTCTTTTGTTGATTTTCCATCTTCCACTTTGTGGCCTTTTAGGAGAAATGAGCATGCACAGAAATTGGCAAAAGAATTCCTTCTTGATTTGCGAAGTGGAACATTAGACTTGTAAGACATGTCTTCCTCTCTCCAACGGAATCCAATAGGCAAAGTCTATTGCTTTTTTCATTTGAATAATGTTTATGTTTTGCATGGAAAATAGAGGCCCTGGTGTTACTTCTACACGCTCAAACAAGACAGAACAGTCTAGCAACCCCAATTCGGATGATGAAGCAGATACTGATGACAAAAGAAGACGGCATGGCAGGGAGCTATCCAAAGATGTTATGTTACTTTCACAAGCTCCAAAGGCTCACCCAGTCAGTTCTGAGCCCAGACGAATTCTTATTGACATTGAACAAGCACAGACACTTGTGGGGAAGCTCGATTCAGAAAAGGCAATCGAAGAAAACATATTATCCCGATCTGATAATGATAGAGGGAACAGGGACAAGAGCAATGTGAGTTCTGGCCCAGTTGTTGTAGTAAGGGGGTTAACTTCAGTTAAAGGTCTTGAGGGAGCTGAGCTTCTAGAGACTCTTCTAACTTATCTTTGGCGCATTCATGGTGTGGATTACTATGGTATGTCTGAAACAAATGAAGGCAAGGGCCTCAGACATGTGATATTTGATGGCACAACTTCTGAAATGAGTAGTAATGGGGCTGATTGGGAGGCAAAACTAGATTCATATTGGCAAGAGAGGCTGAAAGGTCAAGATCCCTTGGAGGTCAGAACTGCCAAGGATAAAATTGATACAGCTGCAGTTGAAGCCTTAGATCCTTATGTCCGCAAAATTAGGGATGAGAAGTATGGGTGGAAGTATGGTTGTGGTGCGAAGGGTTGTACAAAGCTCTTTCACGCTGCTGAGTTTGTTCATAAACACTTAAAGTTGAAGCACACAGAGTTGGTGTTGGAGCTGACTTCTACAGTCCGTAAGGATTTATACTTCAAGAATTACATGAAGTAAGTGCAATTTATGAGATGTGTCTTGGTTTTTTATTAATAACATAATGATGCTTACTAAGCTACAATTATTTTAGCGACGAAAATGCACCTGGTGGAACGCCTGTTATGCTGCCATCTCAGCCGGTATGTTTGTATTACAGCTATGATCATCTTAAATACCCACTTAAGTTTCAGACACTTAGTTGCTTGAATTCTCTTCTTTCCTTCTTCCTTCTTTTTCTACTTATCATAACATGTGTGAGTTTGTGCTCTTAGAACATAAGCAGTGGCGGAGCCAGGAAATTCATAGAGTGGGGGCGAAAAAAGAAATAAAAATAAAACTAAATAAAACGATAAATATTTTTAATATTAAAGTTCATAACATAACAAATCATATTACCTCAAGTCTACAAAATCATTCTTCTAGCCTTCATTGCTTGAAAATATTGTAGGATGTCTTCATCTTCCACACGATCAAAAGTTTCATACTCTATATAAGTTAGCAAACAAGCATTAAATCACTCATCACTAATTCTGTTGCGTAACTTATCTTTGACCAAGTTCATTGCTGAAAATGCACGTTCCACACTTGCTGTTGCAACCGGTAAAAGTAAAGCTAACTTCACCAACAAATACACCATCGGATAAACAATGTCTTTCTTCTTCTCAACCATTTTTTGGGCGAGTTCTCCTATTCCTTTCAAATTAGCAAATCCTTCATCATCTTTTACATCAAGAATAAAAGTCTCCAAGGAAGAGGAAAGGAAAGAAAGATCACAAGACTCATCAAAATCCTTTGGATAATATGTAGCAAATTCAACCAACTTTTTTGTGTCAAATTTGTAGAATGAATCTCGGGGATCAAGACAACTCAAACACTCGATCAACTTTGTGTTCACGTTGTCAAAGCGATCATTCATCTCAAAAAGTTGTTGGTCGATCACTTTATCAAAGTACATGAACTTGAAGAACTCCCAAAACTTGAGTATTGATGCATTTCTCCTTGATCTTCCCTTGGGACAATAGAAATCACCCATGTTTGGAATATCAACATCATGTTTCTTGCAAAACTCAGTTGTTAAATCAAGCAACACATCAAATTTAACACTTTTCAAATTTTGCAATCGAACTTTTGCAACTCTCACTAAAGCAATAGCATTGGCTAGGTCTTGATCCTTTCGTTGCAAGGACTGTGATAGTTCTTAAGTAATGCTTAAGACCATCTCCATCAAATGCAAAATGAATACAAATTCAAAATCTTCAATAGCAAACAAAATAGCACTTGCCTCCGTCCTTACCGAATCTTTCTTAGGATCATTTTGAATTATATTCATCAATGAAACAATATGAGAGAACAATGAATTTACACTCACAATTGTTGAGTAATGAGACCCCCATCGTGTATCCCCGGGCCTTCTCAAACTTGATTCTTGATTAGAACCTTTTCCATGCACATCACCACAAGCAATTCTTTCAAGAATCATTTCATATTGCTTTTCACGAAAAATATCTCGTCGCTTACATGAACCATTAACAACATTGGCCATCTTTTGAAGAATATCAAAAAATTCTTGAATCTTTTTATCACTCTTAGCCGCCTTTACAAGTGCTAATTGTAGTTGATGAGCAAAACAATGGATGTAATAAGCTGATTTATTTTCAGCTAAAATCAAACTTTTTAAACCATTGAACTCACCTCTCATGTTACTGGCGCCATCATAACCTTGACCACGACATTTAGATAAACTAAGTCCCATTTTTGCAAGAAGCCCATCAATTGCTAATTTTAATGACTTCGATGAAGTATTTGAGACATGAACAATGCCTACAAAACGTTCAAGAAGCAACCCTTGTTTGTTCACATAACGTAAAACCATAGCCATTTGCTCTTTAATTGATACATCACGAGCTTCATCAACAAGTAAAGAATAATAATCATCTCCAATTTCTTTGACTATGCTCTGTAATGTTAAATCTGCACAAGAAATAGCAAGATCTTTTTGGATCATCAGTGATGTCATTTTGTTATTCTCAGGAGCATTATTCAAAACCACTTTCCACACATCTTCATTTGGCCGAGCATAAAAATTCAATTGCTCAAGAAACAATCCTTTTCTACCTGAACTTTCAGATTCATCATGACCACGAAAAGGAAGACCATTTCTTAAAAGAAATCTGACACAATTCAAAGATGATTGTAACCGAACACGATAATCATTTTTTGCTTGGTCGGTAACACACATAAGAGCAACATCAATATGTCGTTTCCCATTCATCAAATCTTGCCCTACTTGGAAACATTTATTGTGAATACTATCATGTTCTCCCATGTGAGTTCTTAACCTACTTGGCTTATTCCAACACTTAAACCCCGTACTAACAAATGCATCATGTCCATGGCTAGAACTACCAAACTCTATATTGAAAAGGTAACAATATGGACAATAGCAAGCATCTTTTGATTCGCTATACTCAATCCAAGCACCAAATTCTTCATACCATTTTGAATTGAATCTACGATTGTAACCATAAATGAAGGTTTGAGGAAATTCACGAAGCTTAGGTTGTGTTGGACCTTTTAATAAATACCTTCTATGTATATTTTCTCTCTCAATCGGATTTTTTGTCATCAAATGGATTGGAATCCTTTTTCCTGGATCCGATTCAAGATTTGTTATGTCAACTTCATTTTGATTTTCTTGAATCGGAGATTTGCCTTGAGGTTTATCAAGTACACTTGCTCCTTGAGAATCTTGAGGCGGAGATTGTGGTTGAACTTCAACATCAATAACATTTTCTTCCGGAGGTGTAGGCTTTAGCCTTTTGAAATATGATTCTAAACCTAATAGAATACAAAGTAATAAAAGGTTAATCCCATAACTTGAAATTTAATAATACTCATTAAATCTAAATAAGTCACAAGTATAGTGTGGAATTGTGGATGTTACCTTTCATTTCCTGTTTGTGAAGTGTGAAGTAGGCAGTTTCAACCCTCAAAATTTGATATTTTCACCTGTAAAATTTGTCAATAAAAATAATTGTCAATTAAAATTTGGCAATTTCAACCCTCAAAATTTCATTTTTTGTTGTCTCTAATAGGTTAAATGGTAATCAATTGCTAATATAATAAATTAGAGAAAAAACCTGAACGATCGGAGCCTGTTTCTGAACGATTGTACTTCGTCGGAATCGTCGCCCTTGCCGCACTTCGTCACCGGCCGATTCCCGTAAACAAATTTACCGCTGGTATCCGTCTCTGCCCTTTGCACAATTAGAAGAAAGATTTGAAGAATTGAAGATTGAATGGGAAATTAGGAATAGATTGGAGAATTGAGTGGATCTAATTGGGTGGGAATGTAGGATTTGGGGATGAGATGGGAATTGACGGGTGGAAAAGAGGCACAGAGCAGGCGACAGAGGCACAGAGCAGATTTTCTTTTTTTTGGTAAAACGCCAAAACGACGTCGTTTTGGAATTAGGGAACAAATTTCAGTGACTGCATTTGCAGTCATTTGCTCCTTACTAGCTCCGCCACTGAACATAAGTGTTATGTTTTGTCGTGTGGAATTCTTTTGACTACAAGATTTGTTGTTAAATTATGACAACAATGCCTAGGGTGCTTTGTTTGAAAAATTGATGGTTCTTACCCCTTGCCCCTCCTCCCCAATATGCCAATTGGCTACAGTAACACTGTAGCCAATCCGCCTTTTATGGAGGGGAGACGAGGGGAGGAACCATCAATTTTTTGAACGGAACACCGTAGCCATTGTTGTCAAAGAATGGAACACACACACACACACACACACACTTTATATGAATAATTAAACATAAAATAACCACAAATAGATACTCCCTCCGTCTAGGAATGATGTTCCCACTTTGACTTTTCTTCATTTTTAAGAAGCATTGACTAAGGGAGTGAATAGACTAAAATGCCCTTGCACATTTCCACCCATCCCTACCCACCAAACACTGCCTCCGCGGGCACCCACCACCGGCCCAACCCCCACCGCTGCCAACCCTACCACCACCGCAGCCCCCCACCACTGCCGTTAGCCTCATTATCTCCGCCAACCCAAATGACCATCACCACAGCCGCCGTCACCATCAGTCCTGCCATGGCCCATAGCCTCCACCAAGACCATATATGGGAGAAAGAAGGGGAAGAAAGAGGACAAGGAGGAGAATAAGAAAAGGACACAAATCTACTGCGTAGATCTAGAAGAAAGATGGAGAAGAAAGAAGAAGGGGAAGATAAAGAAGAATAAAGACTATAGAGAGGAAGAAGAAGGAACAACAGAGATGGAGGAGAAATAGGAGAGAAGAAGAAAAAGAAAAAATGTGGAGATGAGGAAAAGGGGTGGCGGAGAAAAAAGAGGGAAAGAGAAGAGAAAAAAAGAAAGGAAGAAAAGAAAGAAAAGAAGGAAGAGAGGGTATTTTTGGAAGAGTAGAGAAAAAAAAGGTAGAATGGGAACATCATTCCCGGACGGAAAAAAGAGTAGAATGGGAACATCATTTCCGGACGGAGGGAGTATAAGTCACAACATATAGAATTAAAGTCTAGACGCAAGGAAATAAGTGTTTACAAGCATTTAAAGACCACAACTAATAACACAGTTCAAATAAAAGTACATCTCCATCCACTGGTTGAATCGTGCATGATAATGAAATTTTGACGCGCCAATTTGGCCGCCCGGAAGATCGAGAAAGATAGTTGCTTACTGTAGGTTTAAAGATTATAACAACCCGACTTGGTGATTAGGCAAGGGTAAGTCAACCATTTAAAAATTGGGCTTTTCAAAAATAAAAAAGGGTCCAAAGGATTGGGTGCGTAGGCGACGCCTTATCGCCTTGAGGTTATGTAGGCGAGGCGTCGGGCAAGGCGTCCACAGCAGAGCGGCTTAATGCCTAGCGAGGCCTTAATAACTATGGCTAAGTGATTACTGAAATGATTAAAAGCAAAGCTGATGCTTTGATGCTGATGTCATAATGTTTATGTCAGTGATTCTGATATTCAGCTGTGTGTATGAGATTAGAATTTTTTTAATAATCCATTTACATGTGGATAATACTGGTCTTTCGGGCACTACACTGGTTGGACATTGAAGTGTGTACTCCCTGATCTTGTTGCCAGCTCATCATGTGATAAAATGTCTACAAGACTAGTCACAAATCCAGGAGAGGTGTACTTTTAGTTCATCCTACGGCATTTTGATGTTTACGTGGTTTGTTGTGTGATTTTGTGATCCTTTGTGTTAGTGTTAGGCAAGTTCTTGGTAGTTGGGCAGTTTTTAAGTCAGCCCCCATTTGTTGGTGTAGTTCCAATCCTTTTTGTAATAATATGGCAAGCTACCTGTGCAGAGGAATCCAAATAGTTATCCAACTAGTTAGTGAAAAGAGTTGTGGAATTGGGAGACCTCACCCTTGATGTGATCCTCAATTTTATGGAGGCATATAGTAACCCCTTCCTATCTTCAATTGGGTTATGCATATAGGAATGGGTTATTAAATGAGTTGGGGGTATATTCAGCAAAAGAAACTAAGGACTAACTGCAGTAATAATTTATTTTTCAGGGTCATATGATAAGCAGCAAATAAAATAATGACCTCTGTAATAAAGAGTATTGGATGAGTATCAATGCTTGTTGGAATTATGTTTTTGTTTTTACTTCTTGAAACAATGTGTCTACGCTTTTCGATGGCTTGTATCTCTTGCTATATTGGTCAGGAAGTTTACTTGCAGTCAGTTTTCTGTGTGGATGAAATAGAACATCAGATGTACAAGCATCCCTTGAAATTAGGAACTAGTTAATAAGTATGAACTTCATGAAGCCATGACATGCGGTTGCAGAAAAATGGTTGCTCCTGGTTTTCATTGGGATGAATTTAGCTGTTTTTATTTTTCCCCCCTTCCATTTCATGTATTGTAATTCTCCCATAATCTGGAAGGGCATTTTCTGCTCTTGATATTTTGATCGAGGTTTCAAATTTTGATCGTTTGCACTTTGCAGCCATTATTTGATATTATGCTGCACCTAATGAAACATCTGGATGGTGCAGAAAGAAAAGTTGCAGAAGCAAAGGCCAAGTCTAGAAAGCCGACTGAAGGACAATAGAGGTGACCGAAGAGAACGCAACGGTGTTCTAAATGGCAGTGAAACACTTGATAGGTCAGAGAACCCACTGTCGGATAAATTTTCTAAGGATAATGATGGAGGCAATCCTGATGAGCAAATGTTTGATTCATTTGGTGGACATGGGATACCTGTTGCTGCTTTCCATTCAGATATAACCCCTCCCCCTGTGCTGATGCCTGTACCTGGGGCTGGGTAATTTAAAATTTCTGTTGTACCCTTATGTTAATTCAACTCTACAGTCTACTCTGATATTTTCATGTTATAACTATTTTTTCTATTTAATTGTGTTTGCAGTCCCTTGGGGCCTTTTGTTCCTGCACCTCCTGAAATTGCAATGCAGATGTTTCGAGAGCAAGGCGGTGGCCCTGCTCCATTTGAAGGTGGTAGAAATGGAAGGCAAGGGCTTCACATGGGTGGATCGGCCCCAATCATTGCTTTACCCCATAGACTTCGGCAGGATCCTAGGCGTTTACGAAGGTAACATTTCCTTCAATCTACTTGTTTATTTGTGTTGAGCTGTTGACTAATTTAAAAAAGACAACCACCAAACTTAGTATAAAATCCCATCTCTGTTTGGGTCCAGGGGTCAATATGAATGTAGCCTTGCTCCTTGAAAATTGAGAGGCTATTACCGTTAAACCCTCAATGCATTTACTATCCAAAACTTTATAGAAAGTATGAAGCAAAGAAAGTTTAATGACTCTTTCAGCTCCATTGGCAATGAACATATTTATGTTGATTGCCTTCATTGCTAATATTAGTTTCAAGTGCTATTCCTTGGTTATATGCGCTTCTATAGTTATATTACTCTGGGTATATATTATTTTGGAAAAATTTACAAGAATACTCCTAGGATTTACAAGTTTTACATAAATACTCCCAAATTCATTTATTTACACGGTGACTCCCACATTTGCCTATTATTTACGTCGTTACTCCGTGATTGCCTAATCATTATCAGTGTTACTCCTGTGTGTGTTTTTAAACATGGTTCTTCATCTTTTTGACTGAATTCAAATTAAATTAATAATATGAACAAACTTGATATCAAGCATGAAGAAGATTTAGGAAGTTCGAACTCGGAAGATTTTTAAAAAGTGATGGGAGATAAGGGCAATGATTAGGCTTTTTGAGATGTGAGAAAGACGATGGGAGAGAATAAGCTTAAGGTGAATTTGGTATTTTAGAGTGAAAAAAATACACGTCAGCATTCTAGGTATCCAAGTAACACTAATGGTCACTACCAAATTGGGGAGTAACGACGTAAATAAGAGAAAAATGTGGGAGTAATGTTGCAAATAAATATTTTGGGAGTATTTATGTAAAATCTGTAATTTCTAATCTTGTGAATTTTGCCTATTATTTCTAACCTGATTGAAACTAATTTAATATTTCAAGAACTAAATTAGATGCATCACAGGCATGCAGGATTTTCATGGCTTGATTTTCTTTACATATTTCCTGGTGCCTTGGCTTTTAGCACCACTTACTGTACCTTCAAAATTCATATTTTTGATTTTCCAAATTCAGCTTGATGCAATTGGATGGAGAGTGCTCATCATGGGGCATAGACTCTCATTAGAAATTGTACCATGACCCTATCCAAAGAGTCTCTTAGTTACCTTTGGTCAGATTATTCTATTTTTCCATATCAAGTTTTACCAGTAAAGGTGTAGTTCTCTACTGCTCCTCCACCCATGACACACTTTCTCATTTTAGTCTGTCTCAAAATGTTTGTCTCCCGCCATATTTGGTAGCATTTAAGTGGCTTAAATTGATCTATACTTAACAACTTCAATACCAAGTATGCAATTCCATGTTTGTTAAATTACACGCCTTGCCCCCCAACCTCTCCAGACTTTAATGATGGGTTGTTCACCTTATACGCTTTACATTCAGAGCAGATGCGACAGATTATCAGACCATACCAGATCCTATGTTTATATCAGTTAAGAACATTTGCACTAACCATAGTAGACCAGACCAGATAGATAAAAAGCCGGACGTGATCACAATTTTTTTCAGACAAAAATAACTTGTCCTTCATTGGATTAAGAAAGTACTTAATCCTAGCATTGACTTTACCAACTCTCTCTCTCTCTCTCTCTATGGTGTTTATGTTGTTGGATGTATTCTTAACCTGTAATTTAATTTACAGCTATCAAGATCTTGATGCACCCGAGGATGAAGTAACAGTGATAGATTATCGGAGCTTGTAGAATCATATGGCTTATAGTATGTTTTCTCTTGTAATAACACTTTACCCTTGAATTGTTTTATTGAGGCAATATAGCCAATTTTTAAATATTTTATTGATAACCTCGTTTGGTGCAGGCTACTTGTTTATTTTTTAGTGTAGGTTATATAATCATAATTGGGATTAAGTACATGATTATTTGATTATATCCTTCTCAACCCCACTTTTGATATTTCACTAGACATAACCGAGCACATTTTTGTTAATGTTTACAAGATAATCTTCTAGGAGTTTTCTTACCGAGGTATTGTAAGTCGTATGATGTTGTGTTTGTATTACCGAGTCTAGCATTTCTAATTATCTTTGACATAGTTTGCATGTGCTAAATTGTGTTCTTGTTTATATTGAATCTCCAATTCCTGAATTTCTTAAAATGTGAAAAAATTAAAACTGAAAGTTGGAGTAGTTCAATGAGGGAGTGAGGGACACAATTTAGGGTATGAGAATTGTGTCTTTTAAAATTATTTTATCGACAAATTACAAAATAAGATGCAACAAAAATGTTTTATTTTATCAAATAATTAATGAAAATGTACAAAAATGTGCAACCACCATTCCTTTATACATGTCCTGTTATAAAAATGCAAAATTGCACACACTGCAATATGAATGCGAAGTATAAAAGAAAAACAAAGGTGTATGGCGTTTGGCAACTTCACTCGGAAATGGCGTGTGCAAAATGTGTGCAGCAATGCGTGTTTTGTAAATGTGTGTATTACATACACACATTGTATTTATGTGTGCATGTTTGTAAGTTCCAAAAATTTTAAAAGAGCATAGTTATCTAAATTCAAATTGAGTGATAAAGAGAGTGAGCTTCTTAAAAATATATGAAAAAGTCAGGCTATCTTTTGAATATGGACAAATTTAGAGGTCACTTCTTTTTTAAGATAATAATTACATTTGAAGACCATCTTCTCTTGGAACTTAAAAAAATTGTTGTTTCTTTTTAAAATCTAAAAAACAATGATGAATTTACGTCTAGATCTTTTTAAAGATAACAAATTTTTAGGCATGTATTAAGATTTTAGAACATATCATGGATCTGCATCATTCTCTCTCTCTGAATATGAGGGAAACAACGCGTCTATTTCTAGTTCTGGACAAAGAAGACATCCATTTTGAATTCTTTAAATAGAGAAATTAATGTAGAAAAAGGTGTTTTTTTAATTGGTAAAGATTCGTTTTCCATAAATTCAAAATAACTCGTTTGATGATTTAGTAAACGCTCTCTGTAGGAGATCGATCTATACATGAAAAGCTCGCAATACATACATTATTCCATCTCTCAAATAATTAGTTATATACATGTAAAGTATTGAAAGAAGAACAATTTCATCTAAATTAAAATTGCTCTATGACCATCACGAAAATATAAACAAATAAGTTACCATTTCGATATGTAAGGATGTGGATGACACTCCATTCATTTTTGAATAAATTCTTGAAATATATGGGGTAACTCATGTCTAGATTGTAAGACACGGATCTAAACCCAACACCCAATCCAGGAATTCTCAGATATTTTTCAATCAAAATCAGAGGCTATCAAAATAGCAATTGGCTAGCTTTTGTTTTTATGGTAAAAAGAGTGCCCATATGATCTGCCCTTCTCCACTGCAAAATGGCACAATCACACACTAATAGTTACAGAACATATGTACAAAAACCTAACAGGATACAGGGAAGTATACACACTTTCCATGCACTATCATCTGCTGTGTTTTCTTTCCTAACAAAAAATACAGAGTTTATACCAAGAAACACATCACCATGGAGCAGTTGCCACATATTTGAACATCATCTCCACTCTACCATTATCACCATAGAGTTCAGTCTCTTCGTCCAAACCCGATATCCTTTTTCTGAGATCCTTCAGCTCCGCTTTCGCAGCAGCACGCTGTTCTCTTCTCTTGGATGCGGCAGCCCCAGACGAAGCAGACAGCAGGTTGATGAGCTTTCTTAGCCTGTCGCGCAAAAACTCAACTCTCATGCCCAGACACTCGAACCCCCTCAGAGTCGTGTCCCAAGCTTCCATTGTTCTTTCTGATGTTAGCTTGGGAGAAGATGTACTAATGGCATCTGCAATGTTCACGGTTTCTGAGATGATGCCCGCGATGAGCTTGTAGTTCAGCCCTTCTATGAGGTTTTGGTGGAGGTAGGACTTGTGCGCGGCGCAGAGCTGATAGTACTTGGCCCTAAGGTCTCTGGGGATCTCGGAGTCTATGATCAAGCCATTGGCGAATACGTGGAAGCTCTCAAAATCTTTCACTTGGGAGAAGTCCAGAGCAGAGTCGGCTAATCTGAGACCACCAATGTCGTCATCGTCACAGCTGTTGGCAGATAAGTGGGACGCCGGAGGGCCATGCTCTGAGATTGACACCACTCTGTCTTCAATCCCCTCTCCCCCTTCTCCTCTTTGTTCCAGACATGCCTGGGTTTCTGCAATCATACCAAAAATGAAGGAAAACTCGTGTAAATTCCCCCTCACTCTATTAGTACGAGAGCTTTTTAAAAATGCCCAAAAAGTAAATATGTGGAGTTCAGATAATCTTTGGTGTTCCTAACCCACACACATAAAATGCACACAACATGCACAAAACAAGCACTCAATATGCACAAAACATGACTCCATTAGTGTGTGTTTTTTTTGTTAACCGGAAATGTATATAGCAATGATTGTTGCACATAATACAATGGAGACGTACCGATAGAGAGTGGTTGATGACTTAAATTCAAAAGACTGATGGCGGCGAAATCAATATCAGCTGAGGCATTTTCCCTCACAATGTACACCTGAAATAGGCAGAAGGAGGACCTCAGATTGCCATTGAAGAAATGCAGACAAGAAATGGTTGAAAAGACAATGGAGGTGTGGGGGTTGCCTTGAACTTGCAAGGCTCTAAGAGCTGAAAAACTAAGGCGTCCCCGGCAATCAAGTTGTGGGCTATGGAGAACCCCCTCCATCCTGCACTCAGACCGTTCTTTTCGACCAGGTACTTCGTCTCCCATTCTTTGTCATCTCCATCCACCAAAACAACACCACCATCATGCTTTGGCAAATGGGAGGTACAAAAGGGTCTTGGAAGCCCCTATAATCATCCATATTGATACAATCCACCAACAATCACAATTTCATATATAACGACAATACATGGATACTAAAGACATGAGATGATCCGGTCGAATTGATACTAAAGAGTTCTTACCAGCCAAAACCCACCGGTAACGTGAGAGTGCAGCATGAACTTCACCAGACTAGGAAATTCAGGTGCAAGGTTTGCTTGAAGTTCTCGTGCTCTCCTCATTGCCGGCGAGTTATTGTCAACGCACGTATACTCCCTCTTAACAACTCCACTTTTAGCCACCTTCTCAAATGAGCACACCATCAGCAAAATCGCCTCATTTCATCAGATATATACATTAATACCCACACCACTTAGCATGTCGATTTATGGTCCCATCGACACTTATATCTATATAGCATTTTCTTGATTCATAGTGATAACAAGGAATAAAATATTAATATACTTATCGTCTTAAATTAACAAAAATTTTGTCTCTAATCACTCTAAAACTATACATGAATAAAGTTACAATCATTTTAAACACAAATATGAAAAATATGGAATTGAGCAAAGATAGCAGGACAGAGGGAGTATATGTTATCAATAACCAAATCTTTAGCTTCTAAAACATGAGTTTATAGGATTTCATGTAGGAATATCTATTTGCTTTAATCTTATCAGAAGATACTGGAGTAAAAAATTATTTACAAAATGAATTGAAAAAACAGCATTGTTAAAGCAGTCTGGGAAATACTTAAAATGAACATTATATATAACTAAACAATAATGGTTTCAAAGAACAAGTGTGTTAATTCACCTTAGCCACCACTTTGCTTTTCTTGGGAGGAGAAGACCTCTTCTGCAGCTTCTTAATATTGACATTCCTCTTTAGCTGTCATCCCAAAAAATCAAGCAAATGGATTTAATCAGACCCCAAGAATTCAGCTCATGAAATGTTTTTATATGGTTTATAAAAATAAAATATAAAAAGAAAAGAAAATGGACCCTTCCTCAAGAGGAGAAAAGTTCAGGAATGGGATATATAAATTAACCTTGGAAGACGAAGAAGAAGAGGAAGGCTTGGGGGAGAATTTCCGAGAGGAATACAAGGAGGAGATGGCCATGAGCGCCAAGAAAAAGCTCAAACAGGTTCGAAAATGGGGGAGGAAGACTGTTCCGCTTCAAATGCAGAGTTTTGGGAAGAGGCGAACATGTCACTTCACAGAATTTGAATTTTTGGCGGAGTAGGTAGGGACTAGGGAATGATTACTTTCTTTCATTTTATCTTCCAGTCTTCCACTACCAGCTCTCCTACTACCCCTAGTTCTAAAAAAAGATGAGCCCCATCCTCACTGTCCGTCAGACCCGGTCGGATGGTAAATGAGAAAAGATAGTTTACACTTTGATCGTATATTGGTATCAAAGAGTGGAACATGATGGTGTAAATTATCGATTGGTATATCGTTTTTAGCCCGGCTAAAACGATTAACTAGTCTAAAAAATACACCAAAATATAAACACGAGGATTTTTACGTGGAAACCCAAATCGGGAGAAAACCACGGGCCTTTTTTGGCGGTACCTTGCCAACGGGGGATTTTTATTAATATCGGGGGTGTGTACACGGTACATGATTTAGGCTAGAAGCCATTAATGGAGCATTTGAGCTCTTGAAGAAGAAAATATACACAAGCTTTCTAGAGAGAGAGAGTAAATGGGAAGGGAAGGAGTGAAGAGTGTGAATTGCCCCCCCACCCCAACAATTAGGGCAACCCTTCCTTTTATAAGAGAGGGTGAGAGCATCTACGGAGGAATATTCTCTTATTTCTCTATTTTATTAAACAAGATCGGTTTAATTATTCTTTGTAAATAATTGGGAAATGTGGGCCGAGCCACGTATTATTTCCCATGAAGAAGTCCTCCACTTTTTTGAGTTGTGAGAATCATCAACTTAAAAAAGTAAACAAGTCCTCCGAGTGTGATCTTCAGTCTTCGTACTTTGAATTCTTGACCGGTAGATATTATTGCTAGTCCTCCGAGTCTTCATTAATTCTCTAATTTCTTGAATCAGAAGTTTTATCCTGCAAAAATTAATTTGTACAACATTTTTTTTAACCGGCCTATGCCGTGCTCAAAAAATTATTATTTTTACCGAGGAGCTCAATGTTAGATGATTAAGATTCGCGCGAATAATTATCGTAACGAGAGCGATGTCAGTTCGATAAAGCAACGATGCTTCGAAAAGTTATTTCGCCGAGGTCGGTGTTAATACGAGTCAAGCAAACGATGCGTGACGAAATTAGTATACCAATGACAACAACCTTAGTTAATAAGAATTGAATCCGACGCGGTAGCTTTGTTGAAGATCAGTGTTAGCCCGGCTGACTGATGTAAATATCTTCATGTCTCGCGGAGACCATCTTCGATCAAAGTGCCTCAGATTGAGGGCTTAAATGAATCGGGCGTCCCCGATATGAGCTTTGCTCACTTTTTTGCTGAAACCGATGTGCAATCGGTGTACCGAATTCGATTGGGCTCAGGCTTATTGGAAAATATGTGTAAGACTGGTGTGAAACCAGTGTACCAGTTCGACTGGATCACATATTTTCTTTATTATACTGAGCAAGACCGGTGTAGTAACCAGCGTTCCAGGCCAGGCCTGTGTCTCAGTCTTCCAATAAGATAATGCTGCTGGCCAAGCCAGATCAACATTGGAGAATTAACCATGTCGGATGGTTTCGAGCCTTCTCCAAGGCCCAAAATGCACCCTTCTTCCAAGGCCCCCTTTTCCGGGTGATTAAGTCTTTTAATGGCCCTTTGATATTTATTATCCCGGGAAGGCCTTAGCTCACCCCCCGTTCAAGTCTTCCCTGAGAAGGGGGAAATAGGATGCGCCACGGTGGACGATCCCTCTTCTATTTCTTTTAATGGGCATCTTTTAGTCCCCAATCAGTTTGCCAGTCTTGGCTGATTCCCCGATACCGGTCAAACCTCATGGGCCCGTGTAAGTACGGTTCGAACTTTCTTCCAGTTCCAGCCCTCTTGCAGGCATACCCTCTTCTGGGCCCCTCTTCCAGGTTTATTATTTTTTTAGTTTATACTGAGCAAGACCGGTGTAGTAACCAGCATACCAAGTCCGGGCCTGTGTCTCAGTCTTCCCTTGAGAATGGTTGAAAAACCAACACATCACCGGATATCAACAGGACTTCCACTAATTTGTTCTGTGGTCTTGTGCAATGTACACACTTCAATTTGATATTAGTGGGCTCCCTTCCAAAAGGAAATAATGAAATGAAAGTGGAGCTGTCATATTTGCTTCCTCCTCAATATCCTGATTATTGATATCCTTTTTTTATCTTGGAGTTATTGCCTCTTTTCCTCTTGTACAGGTGCTTTTACATCTCCCTTTCTCCTTTTTCTTTTGTCAATGTTTGCACATGCATGCCCTGTTCAGCTGTTCCATCCAATCTTTTGCTCTAATCTTCCCTTAATTTTGATGGAGGAGAAAAACCCAATAATATAGCTCGCACATGGGGGTCAATCAATGACGCCATAGGCAATTGTGACGGTGATGACAGACCTCAGTGACGGTGGCAATGGACATTTCAGTGTAGCAGACGGAGAAGATGAAGACCTGCGTGCGGTGCAAATACACGAAATGGCTAAATTGCAAGTCCGATCAAGAGAATCTGCGTTGGAGCTGCAACGCCTAGGTCCACTTGGCCAACTTTTTTGTGGTGCGGCACTCCCGCAGCCTGCTCTTCCATGGTTGACTGTCCTGACGCCGTGGACAACTCCCGGTTCCAATCTCAGATCTACTATTTCGTCGTGCGAGATATGTTCTCGCAGGGGAGGTATAAACGACAGTGAGGCGGGAGATGAGTGCGAGGACGATAACGTCGAGGAAGATCCAGAGGAGGAAGGTGATGATGCGGAAATGGAGGCTGAGGAGGAGAAATAAGAGGTGGATTTGGATAATGTTCACGTGGTTTCGTGGTCATCCACGGCACCGTGTCCGCCGCCGGCAGTTTCTTCATCGAGCAGCGATGTCTCGTTCTCCAATCTTGAAAATCTGTCGCCGTAATTACTCCTCCCGGCCGCACCTTGGCGGCATGATGCCAGCAGCTCTCAGGAATGGCATTCATTTGAACAAAGGGCCTTCGACGGTTTCACTGGCGCCGCTGCAAAGGAGCAACAAGGTGACAGCCGTGGGAAGCGGATTTCAGTGACGGCGGTGCGGGTTTCCAAATCGGCAGCTCTCAGCGGCTCCAACGGTGGCTATGAGGATAGCCAATCTTCAAGAAAATTTGTGGCGCCTAGATCTCGAGCGAAGTGATGGTGATGAATCGAAGCAGTGAGAAAAGTCTACTGCAACTATCACTATATTACAGCTCCGACCGGCCTCAATACAACCACAACAGATTTCAACGGCGAGCTCCGATACAACCACAGCCCCGCTGCGACAGTGATGGAATTGGGTGGCTTCAGCGATCTGCGGCGGCGGTCGCGGGTAGGGGTGTAAATGGATATTAATCGGATCGGATGTGCCATTACCAAATCCGCATCCGTTTATTTTTGTCGGATATCGAATTCGGATACGGATCTTGACGGATACTGAAAATCAAAACCGTATCCGCATCCGTCGGATATCGGTCGGATATCGGATATATCTGTATCCGTTTCCAATTTTTAAAATCAAATTAAAAAATACTTTATTTTTAAATTAGATTAAAGTCAAATTATTATTAAATCAACTATAATTTGTTATGAGATAATTATTTTCTTTGTTTTCATGATTTCTGATATTCTACAATAACTTTATATGATAAAAAGATATACACAACACATATATACACATATTTTTATATGTCTGTATATATTTTTATGTCTACACATAATAAAACATAAATTTTTACAGAATATAAAACTTTATAGTTATCTTTTTGTTTTATATTTGTATTTTTTAATCCTTTTTGATATATATTGCCTAGCCTATAAGCCTATTTGCCAATAAATTTGCCTACGTATACGCCTAGCCTAAAATTTGCCTAGCCTATATGTTAATGGTTTAGGCATAGGCAAATCATTTCGGATATCCTTAATCGGATACGGATAATATCCATTCAAAACGGATGCGGATATTTTCTCTTTAAACGGATACGGATGCGGACGGTAATCGGATTTTCGGCTATCCGTTTACAGCCCTAGTCGCGGGGGTGGATTGCGGCGGTGGTGGCTCCCGTGGCCGCAAAGGTGGCTTCAGCGATCTGTGGCAAAGGTGGCTTTGAGAAATCGAGGACAGCAAGCTAAGGGCAAGCGCGATAGACATCAGCGGCGGTGCTCCTCTGGCCGTTCCTCCAATTTTCTTCGGATTTCTCTCTTCTTCTTTTTTTTGTTCCTTCTCTCTCCCTTTTTTTTCGGGCCCCCACTACACCCAAATTTTTGGGTCTCTTGAAGAACAAAGTGAAGGAATTCAAAATTTATGGCTTTTTGTTGAGGTCCCACGGGTGGCGCCAAAAATGATGGTGTAAATTACTTGACCGGTCAAACTATACTAGACCGGGTCTAGAATAGTTCGCTTGATTTGGCAAAGTAAGAAAGGTAAAAATACGCAGATTGACCGGTAGGACTTTAGGTGGAACACCTGTAGCCCAATTTATATTATAACGGAGAATGCACGGGTGCTTTTACAAGGGAGTTTAGAGAGAGTGAATTCGGATCCCTCTTTCTGAGGTTTACATGAGTATTTATACTAGGCTAAGGGGGACAAGACCACGTGCGCCCACGTGGGGGCACGCTGATGATGTGGTGCGAGATGACTGTTCCTGAGCTGCCTTGTCATCTTGCGAGGGGGATTTCTTCCCTTGTCGCGTTCTGGCTTGGAAATATTCTTTCAGCATCCCCACTGAGTCCCCAGCAATGCCAACCACTATAGTCCAAGTCCTTTTGGACTCTTCCTGCCGACACCTTCCAATCATTAAAAACTGCACCGGTTGGTTCTTGTGGGTTGGATCTGCTAACTTCAAACGATGAATTAGACCCCGGCATAGTTAGACCGGTATACTATTCGAAATATACCGGTCAACCTTTTGATCAACCCTTTACCCTTCCATGAACGATTTATCTCCCTTCTAAGTTTGACCTGCTTGACTGGTCAACTTATATGGGTCTGACCTTTGACCGTTCATGGGTGAAATACACCCATCAATATAAACGATGGTGTATCGTTTTTAGCCTGGCTAAAACGATTAACTAGTCTATAAAATACACCAAAATATAAACACGAGGATTTTTACGTGGAAACCCAAATCGGGAGAAAACCACGGGCCTTTTTTGGCGGTACCTTGCCAACGGGGGATTTTTTATTAATATCAGGGGTGTGTACACGGTACATGATTTAGGCTAGAAGCCATTAATGGAGCATTTGAGCTCTTGAAGAAGAAAATATACACAAGCTTTCTAGAGAGAGAGAGAGAGTAAATGGGCAGGGAAGGAGTGAAGAGTGTGAATTGCCCCCACCCCCCAACAATTAGGTCAGCCCTCCCTTTTATAGGAGAGGGTGAGAGCATCTACGGAAGAATATTCTCTTATTCCTCTATTTTATTAAACAGGCCCGGTTTAACTGTTCTTTGTAAATAATTGGGAAATGTGGGCCGAGCCAGGTATTATTTCCCATCAGGACATATTACTAGAGTTGGCAAAAGAAATGCGAAAAGGATGATATTCAAATTTAAATCTTGATAATCATGCTAGAAGACAATTGTGTTTAATGTATGATCTCTGCAAGTATTAAGTGCATAGTAAATTCGTAGTCTGTCAGTCAGTTTTTTAACTTTAAATAATTTCTTATACAAATGATTTTGAAGATACCCTCAAAGATGAGGCCTATCCTTTTTTTAAAGTTGGGATGGAGTTTCGTGAATGGACATCACATAAATAATGTACATCTATGGTTTTCTTCTTTGAGTGCGTACCGTACTTCTATTGTTACTAACTCTATTCCAAATTAATTTGAGTGGGGTTCCGTTGATACTCGCAAACGGTACACTACGATTTTGAAGCACCTCTGGTGCTCTAATCGAAAAGTTGATGGTACCTACTTCCTCTAACCCCTTTAAACTCCCACTCGAGCCCCACCCCAACTTCAATCTTGACTTTGTAGTATTTTTTTGGATTTCAAAATTCTATGGATATTCAATCCAGATTTTAAAAAATCATTTAAAATCTGGGTGTATTCAACTCAGATTTTAAAAAATCATTTAAAATCTGGGTGTATTCAATTCAGATTTTAAAATATTCTTCTAAATCTAATGGTATTCAAAAATCAATAGATTTTAAAAGATTATTATAAAATATGGATTTTGATGGATTTTGGGCTTTGGGTATAAATTGAAATCTAAGTCCAAAATCTGACAAAAAGGTAGAGATTTTGCAACTCCACGCAAAATATGTGTCTTCTTCAACCTTCGAAGAAATAGTGTCTTCTACTCTTCTTCAACCTTCAACAAATAGAAAGAAGAACAAAAAATTGTTAGATGGGCAAAAAAATGGAGAAATCATCACGGTGCCACGCCATCAGGCCTTTGCTCAACTTGGTCGAAATACTCGTCGACGACTTTCCTGGCATCGGTTTCTCGTTCTTCAGCACTCCCCCATCCAACACATCTCTGTTCAAGCCAGACGCCGGCAGCGAACGCAACATCAAGGCGGGCAGGCGGCGTACGATATGTGGGATGAGGCGGCGAAAGGGGCGGCGTTGCTGCCAAGACGGGAAACTGCCATGAGATTTGTGGCGGCGATGCCGGCCAACTACGAGAGAGCAGTTGAGGAAGCGATGGTGGCGGCGGCTCGGCAGGAAAGAAAGGAGACCGAAGAAGAGAGATAACTAGGGTTACTGGGGAGGAAAGAAGGAAGAAAAGAAAAAAGAAAAAAGAAAAAAAGGAAAAAATGAAAACATAATCCATGGATTATAAACAATTTTCCATAATCCTATAAAATCCTGTTGATAAAATACATTAAAATCTATCTAACTTTACGTAAACTTAAAATAATTCATTGAGTTTATAGAATCCATGATTTTAAACAATCTATCAGAATCTTTTAAAATTTAGATTGAATACACCCTCCTAAATGTGAGGCTATTTTTTTCCAAGTATGTCGAAGGATTATTTTCAATCGGGAGTTGATATTGGCACTCCACATATGTTACCCATACTCCACATCTTTACTTTCTTTGTATAAATTGACAACTTTGCCCCTCGTAACTAGTAAATCCTTCTTGATGCACTAGCTCACGTCACTCAATTGTTTTGTAACTTTTTCCTTTGATTGTAAATCCTCAATGTAAATTCCTAGGCACAATTAGGGGTGTTCATCGGGTCAAACCCGGACCGGGACCGGACCGGGACCGAATAAGGAGCATTTGGTGGACCGAGGACCGGACCGATTAAGCTAAGGACCGGACCGGTCAAACCCGGACCGGACCGGGACCGGACCGAATAAAGCTTATTTTTAATTTTTTTTTAAATTTGATTTTATTTATTTAATTTTAAGTATTCAATTGAATAAAAATATAACTACAACTAATTTTTAATTATAACATGCACTAAACATAGTCATACATAGTTGTTTTGATTTTTTTTTTAAAAACTTCAAACAAAATATATAACTTCCGTATTACATAAAATTTGTTCGTAATTTTTATTTTACATACATAATATTCTTCTTCTTAGTTCATTTTTGCTTTTTTTGTAATATGTTTTGAGTTTTTGATTTATTTTGACAAATGGATCCATTTTTTAGTATTTTGTTCCTGAGATTGTTCACATTGTTAGTTTTTGCGGATTAGCATTTCATTATTGATAAAGTACAAATTTAGGTGTAGTATTGGTAAATATATGAGAAATGCATTAGATCGCTAATATAAAGGTAATGTTACTTTTTTACACTTTTCATATTAAAAATATTTCAAAATCATTAGATAGAACTCATATATTATTTTGAATTGATAATGTATTTAAAAAATTATATTAAATAATAATATCAAAACATATAAAAATCTTTAGTATTAAAGTTAAATTTATTTTAAGTATAAGAAAAAATCTTAGAAAAATATAATATTATAAAAGTATATTGAAAAAAAATAAAAAAAAAATTAAATTTTAACCG